CAATACTGTGTTGGATAGAAGTGGCAAAAAATCTTCACCCTTGGCTTGTTTCTAATCTTAGGAGAAAATTCTTCAGTCTTTCACCATTGAGAATATTAGCTGTGGAGTTTTTATATGTGGCCTCATCATGTTGAGGAAGTTTCCTAGTTTAGTTTGTGTTTTAATCATGAAAAGGTGTTGAATTTTGTCAAATGATTTTCTGCATCAATGGATAAAATCATGTGTGTTTTTCTTTTCATTCTATTAATATGTTTTATTATATTGGTTGACTTTCTTGTGTTGAAAGAGGAACAAATTCAACTTGGCTGTGGTCTATAATCCTTTCAATATGTTTCTGAATTTTGTTTGCTGGTATTTTGTTGAGATTTTTGCTTCAATATTCATAAGGGATATTACTCTGTAGTGTCTATCTGGCTTTAGTGTCAGGTAAATGCTAGGTTCATAGGTTGAGTTAGAAAGCTTTTCCTCTTCCTTGAGTTTTTGAAAGAGTTTTAAAAGAATTGGTGTTAATTCATCTTTAGGTGTTTGTTGGAATTTATCAATGAAACCAGTTGGTCCAGGTCTTTTCTTTGTTGGGAGGTTTGGATTGCTAATCTAATCTTCTTACTAGCTATAAATCTATCTGGATTTCTATGTCTTTGTGGTTCATTTTTGCTAGATTATATGTTTTTTGTAAGTCATTTAATATTTTGACTTTCAATTATTGATAGCACTTTCTTATAATCCTTATTATTTCTCTAAAATTTCTAGTAATAGTCTATCTTGCACTTCTAATTTTAGTAATTTTAATCTCTCTTTTTTCTTTAATCAATCTAGCTAGAGGTTTATAGGTTTTTGTTTGTCTTTTCAAAGAAATCTTTTGATTTTATTTTTCTACTTTTTATCCACTATTTTATTTACATAAGCTCTAATCTTTATTTCCTTATTCTGCTAGGTATTGGTTTAGTTTGCTGTACTTATTAGTTTGAGATCTTCTTTTTAATGTATATGATAAAGACTGAAGGTTTGTGTCCCTCCAAAATTTCTGTGTTGTAATCCTAACCCCCGATGTAATGGTATTAAAAGGTAGGGGATTTGGGACATGATTCACCCATGTCATAAGGGTGAAGCCCACATGAATGTTATTAATGCCCCCCTAAGAAAGACTCCAGTTAGTTTTCTTACTCCTTTCGCCATGTAAGGACGCAACAGGAAGAGAGACATCTGTGAACCAGGAAGTGGGTTGTCACTAGACATTGAATTTGTTGGTTACCTGATTTTAGAATTCCAAGCTTAAA